TTTTTTTTTTTTTTTTTTGCCTAAAATCATAAAATTATATTAGATTTGATATTAAGCAGCATACATGCACAAATTAATGTTTACACCTATTTTAAGCAAGAGTAATCAATTGAAGCCTCGTATTTTGCAAATGAATTAAAACCTTATTCTCTTCAAATCAATTGAAGTCTCATATTTAAGCATGATGCTGCAAGGCAGAAAAGAAGATGAGTGAAACCTGGGCGCCGGCAAGCTCGTGGATGGCGGTGCGGCAGACATCGCCGGCTTTCTTGCCGGGGCAGACGGCGTCGACGGTGACACCGAAGGCTTGCAATGCCTGAAATGGAACCATGGCCTGCAAGAAAACACGAAACACGAGGAATGAGTGAATTGATTGAATTGAATTGAGAAGAGTGTGAAGATAGTTACTTCAAGGTCTTCCATGAAGTCCCCGCAGAGGATAAGAACCCTTTTCGGAGCCATGCTACTACAAACACTCTCTCTCAGTATCGAATACACTGGAAGACGAGATTATGCGGCAATGCCAATCTTCGCCAACGCATATTAATCATCACTCACTTATTTATTTAATAAAAATAAAAAAGAAAAGTGAAAGAACTGTCAAAAATAAAATTAACATTATAAGACCCTGTTCGAAGTTTTTGACCGCATTAATTTTTTTTAAATTATCTTCAAGAAAAACACTTAAAATTATAAGATCTTATTTAAAGTTTTGACCGCATTAAAAGATGGTAAAGACTAAAGACTCCAACTCAAAAGATTATAGGAGAGCCTTATAACTCAAGTACAAAAAAAAATATTTATAAAAGTTAATTATTTTAATATTATCATTGAGATATTAATTGTTAATATTAAAAGTATTTTTCATTATTTTTTAATACACTAGTTTCTTTTATATTATATAAGGAAAGTGAGTTTTAAGAGTGTTAATTATTGTTTTTCTATAGTAATTTTTGTCATAACACAATATTGTCTATTGTCTTTCATTCTTTTTTACTAATATTTTTTAATAATCTGAAATTAAATTATTTATTTTTTTACTGTATTATTTTAATGAGTTTGTTGTTTATAAAATTAATTTGTTTAATGTATCAAAATTTGAACTTTTTGATGAAATCGACAATAAAGGACGAATATAAATATTGTAAATACTTTTTTATTAACTTGAGATCGACAATACTTTAAAGATAAAATAATAATTTGTTTAAGAAAATAATGAGATAATAGAATTAAATTAATTAAAAATTGCCAAAAATACAAATATGACATATTCTATTTAATTATATATCAAATTTGTTATTTGATTTTAGTGTCAAATAATTTACAAAATGTTTATGGGAATAAAATATGATAAAAAAAATAATAATATCTAATATGTAATTAAAAGGCTATTTAAAAATTACTTGTTATTTTATAATGTTGTTGTTTTAATTAGTTACATATGTTAATAATTTTGTTTTGATAATTATTTGTTATATATATGTTTGATTCAATTTATTTGGTATTTGTTATGTGATCATAATTTTTACATCATCCAATGGAAAAATGAATTATCATTATTTATTTATTAATTTGATGAGAAAAATAAAAATAAAATTATAGATTTAATCACCAAAGGTAGCCTATGTCTATTCACATTTGCATAATCACGAAAGGTAATATATAGCTTCACATTGGATATTGATTGAAGTGTAAAGACATCATTTAATCGACATTAACTCGATGGTAGGGCCATCACTTTATCGACATTAGCTGGATGGTAGTCATTTTCTCTTTAGCTACTTCATTCACACATTAGTATTCAGTTTATATCTTAATCTAGTTTATAAGTAACCCTTTCTATAGCTCAACTCTTAATGAAAAAGATCAATCGTTAGAACTTAAGCATATGAGGAGAACGAAACTCAAAAAACTAATTTATTTTGTGGGAGAGACTCAAGATTTAAGTACCATATTGAATTTTATTTTTTATTCAATATGAGACTTTTAACAAAAAAAATATTATAAAATAATTTAATTTTATTGTAATTATTTTCTTCTTTTTTGTAAATAACAATTTAAAGTTCTATTTAGTTCAAAGGAATAGAGAGGTAATTTTTTATGGATGAGAGAAGAGGGAAGAAAGGAACTGAAATTTTGTTTGGTTAATTTTTTATTTTTTTTAGTTTACAAGAAGATAATAGAGATTTTAAAAAATTAATTTACCTTTAAATCTTTTAAATTTAAAATATAAATAATTTTTTTTTTGGACATTATACTACAAATGTTTGAAAATCTTATCACCCTCCAAATTGAAGAAGAACTAAAATTATATTAGAAAGAATTTTGTTTTCTATTCACTTTACCCCTTCCTAAAAATTAAAGAAAAAAATTATAAATAAACCTTTTTTCCATTCCTCCAGTCAAATATTGTGTGTAAATTTAGATACTAATTTAAAATCACTTAAAGCTATGGATGTGAGGTTGATTTTATGGAGATGAAAATCATTTGTGTTTAATTTCTTCATAGTTTAATTTGTTATTCTATATTTATTAGGTAAAATTTATTTAAATTATTTAACTAATGTAACCAATATATTTTACTACATCAAAATTAAGAATTATATTAACTAAATATAAAAGCTGGATTATATTCTATTCGGAACGAGGAATGCTATATTTTTCAAAACAAAAAAAAATTCCTCTGACTCATCCTTCGAATCACTCAATGACTTAGAAGTGTCAATAACTTCAGATAAAATATTTACATAATTTTAATATTTTAAAATTTTAAACCTTTCGAGTATTTTTTTGGTTGGTAATTTTCAGAGGATGAACTATTTCTTATTAGGCAACTAATTTTCAGAGTGATGGGTAGCAGGAATTTTAAATTATTTTAAAATAATAATAATAATAATAATAATAACAAGTAAATAAGCAGGAACTGTATGCTTCGAACCATTTGCCAAATTTTTCATGCCAGCATTTGTAACCGAGACAGAATTTATATACAATTTTTTAAAATATAATTGTGTTATTTTAATTAAAATTAGAGTTTTAATTTAATATTATATAATTAGATTTAATGTAAATTTTATTGATATTTATTTATGTATATTATCAAAATAAAATTTTAATTTTAATTAAATAACAAAAAAATTGGATTTATAAAACTGTAATTAAGTTTTGTAAAAAATAAAAAATAAAAGTATTGTACATTTCATGAACCATTCCAAACCATGCCAAACTTCTTCACGTTACGTTTTACGAGGACCTTAATGTGTCACCATAATTTATATTTCAAAACAATAATTAAAATAAAACTATTTTATTCTAAAAGTTTTGCAACCTTGACATCAAAGTGGACGTGCCGGAGTGGTTATCGGGCATGACTAGAAATCATGTGGGCTCTGCCCGCGCAGGTTCGAATCCTGCCGTTCACGAAATTGTTTTCTCTTTTTCATCCATTTTGGCTCTTTTTTCATCCTTTGTCCTACATCTAAGGGATTTTAATAAAATAATTGCTTTTAATTTTTTTTTAAATCAAGACAATATAAAATTAAATTTGTATAATGCTGTGGAATAAAAATGAAATTAACTAATAGTGTTATTAGTGTTATTTATATCATCATGGAAAGAATTTTTGTTTTTTTAGAAGAATTGTATATTGAAAATACTCCTTTAAATTACTGTTTATTTTTATATTTACATGCAGTTTTTGTCCTTTATTTTATTTTTTTATTTTACTCTATAATTATTTATAAGTAGCTATTTATAAAAATAATAAATATTTTTTTAATGTAAGCATAAAGTACCTTCTTTTTTATAGTATAATATTTGTTTTATTTTATTTTTACTTTAAAAAAAAAAAATATATATATATATATATATATATATATGTGTGTGTACTCCCGTATGTGTGTGACATGCTACAGTATTAGTATTAGTGTTTTTATATTTATTTTTAAATTAAAAATAAAATAAATAAAATATATGTCATGTGAAAATCAAGGAGTAAAGATATTCATATAAAAATGAAAATAAAAATTATTATAAGATATATTTCTTTTTATACAATTGTATAATTATAATATAGTGATTGTATAATGTATTAATCAATTCAAATAATTTATAGACTTTCGATTTTTAAAAATAGGAAGAGTGGTGGATTCCTATATCAGCTTTATTAATTTTATCATATAGATTAAAATTATTTAAATTTAAAATTTGAAAACTAAAATAATATAAAATAACATAATTAAACAAATGAAGACCAATTCTCAAATAAAAGATTATAAAGGAACGATAAGCATAATTAAATTGTGATTTTACTTGTCACGTCAAAATAAATATGTGACTTTAAAGTTGACTGATAAATAACTAAAAAATACCTTAATATTATGATTTAAAAACAAATTTAAATAACAATTTTATAAACTAATATTATGATTGAAAAGCAAATTTAACTTAAAAAAAAAGACTAATATTATGAGTAACAATTCGATAAATAATGTATTGTTGAAATTAATCTTTCATATCCATGAGCCTTTTACCTGTAGCAAAAACCAAATAAATCTCAATTTTGAAGTTAACCTGACATGATTAAATAATAATTTGTAAAAGAAATGAAAATACAAGCCTTTATAATAGAAAAAAAAAAATATATATATATATATAAACCAATAATAAATCTCAATTTTGCTTTATTCCTTTCTTTCTTAATTTCATCAATCCAAACAAAAAAAAAATTTCATTCTAATTTTTATGTTTCTATTTTTTTTTTCTTCTTATTTTACTTCCTATCCATGTGAATGCTTATCTCTATCTTCAAAGGACCAAATTCTAAACATGTTAAATCACTCTATCAACATACAAAGTCAGTTTTATAATTGTTCATTTTTATTTTCGGCCAAACACTTGCCCATTCTTACTTGCCCATTCTTACTTAGTTCTAGGATTATTAAATATTAAAATATAAAGTCAGTAATAACAGGGAATATTAAAATACATGAACTTGACCTAGAGACGACCAAAACAAAAATCACTATAATCCACCTTTAGCTTGATTATGAAATGCTCTTTCAATACTCACTCTTTGCACCTTTCCATTTTCAAGCAATTGAATTTAAATTGTTGGAGCTAAAATATTAATGTTTGATTACATGAGACTTGAATTCAATTTTAAACTTGTTTGTTTGTTTATGAATAGAGCTTAGACTTTTAGCTGCTTTTGTCTCATGGAACTTTTGTTCTAGTTATAATATATTATGTGCTCTTTAATAAAATCATTCTTCTTAAATAATAAAAAAAATTACTTTAAAGTACTAAAACTCAATTAATTTTCACCTTTATATTGTTAAGGTTCTATCTACTTTATTTATCTTATTTTTTAAGTGATCATAAGTATTTTCTTATAAGAAAACAATTCTTTTTTAGTCAAGCTAAGTTGATAAAAAAAAAATTATAACTTAACCACAACCCATATTAACCAATCTAAAAAGTATTTCTCGACTTGGTGAAATCACGCTTCAGGTCGATGAAGAGAAACTATTAGTGAAGTAACATTGGAGGTGGGTTGAAGAAAAAAAAAAAAAAAACCAAAATTCACACCTAATAAGTATGTGTTTAAAAAAAATTGAACAACTTTAGCCGTTAAATTCTATGACGACCTTGTACCAGAATCCATCTAGGTCAATCCATATGCATACAAAATGACTTCACATTTTACAAAGTCATCTCATAAAGTATCATATTAAATGTTTAATCACCCCCATCAAATTTTAAAAATCATTACATCTATGTTATATTAAAGAAATTACCTACCGGTAATATTTGTACTATAATAGTGAAATCCTCTTTTAAAAAAATTCAGTCGAGCTAATTTAAAATCTTTATTTATGTGCTCTTTCTCTCGTTTGGTCACTTTTTTTACACATTATTTCAAAAGTCTTTTCAAGTTAGTCATCGAGACACCTATTCTTCAACATTTAGAAATTTAGATTTTGATTCTAGTCAATGTCATCAATGAAATTGGCTTTTCCATCTTCATCACCAGAGAATTTGTTTTTTCTAATGTTCCCCGAGTGAAGTCAAGTTACTTATGAAAAGCATTAAATTTTCTTATTTGTATCAAGAAACCTAAACTTTGTTCTCTCACCTTCGCCTAATGGTTGTTTGTCCCATTTTAATGATTAATATATTGCAACAAGTTGCTCTCATCAGATGTATTATTAAGAAGCAACAAGAAAAACTCTTATATGCTTGTTTTAACTGTCGACTTGCTAGTATTAAACCGTTTATATCGATTTGGTTAATCAACAAGCATGTGAGCCAATTAGTTACATTATCAAAGTTAATATAAAAAGAATAATTACAATCAATTTGGTTCAAATAAAGATTTTGGCTAAATTTGATGGAACCTATTTGGTGCTTAGGGTTTAGGGTTTAGGGTTTAGGGTTTAGGGTTAGTAATATTTTTTTTATAAGCAAAAAAAATTTAAATTAAAAAAAAGTACAAGGAGTACTCCAACCCATTATAAGAAACACAGAGACATAATTAGAAATCAGAACCAAAACAGAAACTATGAGAAACATAAACTCGGGTTATAATACCAGTTAATGTAACTAAAAGAACATCCAGGGACAGAATTAGTTATCCACTTCCATGAACGCAATTTAATGTTGTCCAACACTTCCTTGCAATCCTTAACACCTTGCTGAAAGGTAATCACATTCCGATGAAGCCATAGTGACCAAATAACAGAAACCCTAACCACCAGAAAACACTGAGAACGTTTTTTATAAATACCAATATTCGTCTAATATAAATAAAGAGAAATTAAAGAATTAGGAAGGACCACCGCAACCTCCAACCAATTAACCACAGCTGACCAAGTATTAAAAGTCATAGGGCACATTAGAAAGAGATGAAGAGGGTCTTCAGCAAATAGAGAGCAAAAAGAACATAAATTGTTATCCAACACCACACCACGAACTTGTAACAATGATTTGCACGGAAACGCATTCAAAAACACCTGCCAACAAAACACCAAACACTTGATTGGAGCCTTGCTTTTCCAAAGACTTTATAATTTGTTGAAAATCTGAAAAATATCTAGGTTCTCCACCCACCAAGCACTGCAGCCAAAGGTATGCACTTTTCACTAAGAATACACCATCATTGTCACAAATCCATCTCCAATAATCTTGTTTAGAAGGGAAAATCTGCAAGCCTTAAAGCATATCCAACAAGGTATTCACACTACTAACTTCATGGACAAAAGGTTCTCTTCTCCACTTAATCTGCCACACCCACGTAGATCCTTCCCAAGTTCCATTATGTGCCATCACTGACAAAGGATCAATGGCAAAGGAGTACAAACAGGGAAGACATCCAACAAGCACAAACCCCCTATCCACTTACCCTCCCAAAATCGGGTCCTAGTGCCATCACCAATACAACAATCAATTTTTTCATCTAACCAAAAATTTCCTTGTTGTAGCACACACACTATATCCTTCTACCACCAAGAAGCCCTCTTATCCACATTAGAGCAATTAGAAAAGGACTCAATGCGCCCATACCTACCATGAAGAACTTTAGCCCACAACATACCCGGGGAAAGCATGCACCTCCACACCCATTTCCCTAGTCGTGCCCAATTGAACAATCTTACATCCTTGATTCCTAGTCCACCCTCAACCTTAAACTTATACACCATTTCCCATCTTACCCAAGGAATCTTTGAGCCATCCTTGACAGCTCTCCACAAGAAATCACGTTGGATGACCACAATTTCCTTAATCACTGAGTTCGATGTTTTAAAAAAATGAAAGAAAATGGATGGGCATAGCATTCAAAACCGAATTAATTAAGGTCACCCTCCCCCCAACGGACAAATGCCTATGCTTCCAAGAGGATAAACGCTTACGTAAGCCATCAAGTATTGGTTTCCAAGTAGACAACTTCCTAGGATTTGCACCAAGAGGTATGCCCAAATGCTTAAACGGTAGTTGACCCACCTTACAATGTAAAAAAGCAGCTGCCAAATCAATAAAATCTGCCCCTAAATGGATACCAACCACCCAACTCTTGTGAAAATTGATTTTCATGCCTAAAATTAACTCAAAACAGTGCAAGATGGTCTTTAAACACCACAAATTTTGCCTAGTAGCTTCTCTAATAATCAAAGTATCATCCACGAACTGTAAAAGAGAAATCATCGAACCTTCACCACCCAAGTGTAATCTCATAAACAGGTTCATATCTAAAGCCCTAGTCATCAACAATCTAAGACCTTCCACATCAATCAGGAATAGAGATGGTGCTAACGAATCCCCCTGCTTTAATCCCCTACCAATAGATACTTCTGCCGTAGGACTCCCATTCACAAGGGCTGATAGACTACCCCCACATACACAACCTTCCATCCACCGCATCCCCGAAGCATGAACAACAAATAGTCCCATTTCACAGAGTCATATGCCTTCTCATAATCAATCTTCATAACAAAAATTGGCTTCTTATATTTTTGAGCATAATCAATAGCCTTGACAACAACTAGAACAATATTCAACATATGTCTACCAAGAATAAAAACATACTGATTCTCTAAGATAATTAATGAAAAAATACCATGTAATGTATTCGTCAATACCTTAGAAATAATATATTTGATATATTTTCTTGCATATGATTTGGATTCAAAATCATTAACTAAAATAACTATAATTTTAACTACGGGCATAATGATACCTTATTTACTATTTTTTTTATAAGAAAATGAGAAGTAATATAATAACTTAACTTATTTACATATATTTTGTCTTTTCTCTTAGATGATACAAAACAAAATGAATAATAACTTCTGAACTTATTGGTTTCTTTTATTCTTTCCTTCACATGATTACCAACTACTACTATGTAAATGTTTATATATTCATATTTTGAATGTTCAAATTTATTTTTATATTTTAGTTTAACATAATGACGACCTGAAATGAGTTGTTTAATGTTTTAGTAGGTTAGTCTATATATATATAGATATATATATATATATA